GCTGGTTTCCACCGCTGTAGGATATGGCCGCATCTTCAAACATGGAGCACCAGATATCCTTCTTCATGTATTCTCTGAATAATTTTTCTTTTTCATTGCGGTTGCAAGAAACTGATGCAGTAATGGAAGCCCAGTTCACAAGTTGAAAGGAAAAGAAAAGGGACTATTAGGGAACAAAATACTTCACTGAACAGGAAAGACTTTAGTCCACATTTTGCCGTGTAAGCATTTTGGCAAAGATGACTAAGCAGTTTACGGAAACTGCTTCCATGAGGACTGACAGATGGTGGTTACATAAAATTGTGTTAGGGATGCTACGTAGGAAGCCACTGCACACAACACACAGGTACAACAACAAGGAAAGGGTCTCAGGACCACAGGTGTGAGGACTGAACACAACACACAGGTACAACCACAAGGAAAGGGTCTCAGGACCACAGGAGTGAGAACTAAACACAAAACACAGGTAATATCATAAGGAAAGTGGCTCAGGACCACAGGTGTGAGGACTGAACACAACACACAGGTACAACCACAAGGAAAGGGGTTCAGAATACAGGACACCAAGAAGGCTCAGGGGATGGTCCTAGAGCTCTCAACCACATATAAAGGAGTATTTGGAAGGTTGGAAGGCTTACAATAGGGGAAATTGTGGCAGAAGCAAGAAATCCATTACTTTCTCGTTCAAGACGCTCAGCTCCTGTAGAAGCCACCATCCTGGGAGACACCAAGCGAAGGATCAGAGCAGCTACAGACGCCTCACAAAACCGCGGAGATAAAGGTGTGGACAGTCTTTTCTTTTGGTATCTGTTCATTGGTCCCTTGCTGTCTACACACCTCCATTCTGGTGACTATAGGGGTGCCTGAGCTGGTGGACACCCCAGCCTCACTCTGGGAGGTTCTACTACACGTATGCGCACAGAGCTCCTTGAAATTTAAAGAGACAGTTCGCACTTGAAGCGGCCACAGCCAGCACTGAACTGTTTAGAACTAGAAAAAAGGACTGAATGGGTATTGTGGAGTGGGACAGGCAGACAAAAACAGAAATAGGCTGAAAAATAAATCCTAAGTTACATCAAAATGACCAAGAGTAGCATCTTGAAATTTCTCAAGAAGAAGAGTGAAAAGGGAAGCTCATTTCCTCAGCACATCTACCTGGAGGCAATCAGAAAGCATAAGAAAGATCAAAACACAAACTCACCTAAGTATTAAGGCCACAGATAACCCCTGAATA